TGCTGTCTCTTCCTCTGAGGAAGTACCAGCGGTTTAGTCTGCTAATGAGAAGGAATTAGAGCGAAGGAACCACACAGGAACATGGAGAGATGCTGGAGACAAGGATTGAATATCTAAAGCCTAGGATGGAGTTATCTTTAGTCCACTTTATTTTTTCACTAGAAAGACTTTTTTTGTCCATCTTCCAACAGAAGAACCGACGATAACTGAGTTATAAGCCTCAGAAGGGATATGGTTGTACTATTTCACACACAGTTTAGGTCAATAAGTTAGATGTTTACCGTAAATAATATCCCTTCAACCTGAAGCAATTATCCACACAATGACTCAGCAACTTTTAAAGAGAAAAGGTGCCAAACGACTGATTTAAATAATGCAGGTTTTCTTCATATGTAAAATGCATTGATCTTAAAGAAGAAAAAAAAGGGTCCAGATCCAAACACATTTCCATTTTTCCACTGGACTAAAGGATAAATCTTACATTTTTAGAGGAAGGAGCCATTCAAATGTTGGCATATTACATGATCAATGACTTAAGTTCTGATTTGATTACTCAGTTCAAGGGTATGGCGTTTTGTTTCACTCTGCCTAATGTCTTGCAATCAATTTTAAAACACTGCCAACTGTATTGGAGGTAGGATCCTGAGCAAAGAAAAGCCCATCTGTGTGTTTGACTGCTACCTGCCAGATCAGGACAACAGAGAGGAAAAGCCCTGGGATCCTCTTCACACACCGGCACTGACAGCCCAAGATCCCATCCATCACCAAATGATTCCAATTCTGAGTGATTTAGGTCCATTTGGGTCTCCTGTGGCTTCAGCGCACACCTGCCATTTGCATAATTAAGCTCTGGGGGAGCTGCAGAAGGCAGTCATTTGCTGTATTAAATCCTCACCTTATCAATCAAGGGAACATCAAGACACATGCAGACCCCCTGACTTTTGGCTTCCTGCCTTCATTTGAAATGCTAAACAAAACTTTATCTCCATGCCTGAAGATCTGCCGGGTATTTAGACCGCCAAGTCCCTTCTTTACATGTTAGCTGTCTGATTGAGACGAAGCTCGGCCCCTTCCCTTAGGGGGTTCAACCATCAATCAGTCTCCAACAACTTCTGTCGGAGTCCCAGACAGTCAAGATGGATGGTGCCAGCATCTGCAGTCTCCCATTAATTCTCCTGTTAGCATACACTGATAGAAATAGCTGCCAGATAAGAAGCATTTTATCTGTTTTCCAGTCGTTACAGGCCACTTCCTGGTTTGGGACAGGGTCAACCGTTAAATCATTTCTCAGATACTGGTAGCGACGTGTCAAAACTGGACGCCATGCATTCTCCGCCGGGAGTCAAACAAAGACACAAGTGTGCCTCTATAAGGGCCGGTTCTGTCCGACGGACTCAGTGGCTCCTCTGCGACCAGCAGACACTGCTAAACACAACCAGGGGATGAATGGACGCTATTTTCACAACGCGCACCTCTCCGGATAACGAAGCCCTCGCAGGCTGCCCCAACACTTCAACCGGCCTGTTCTCAACACCCGCTCCACGGAGGCCGCCCAACCGACACAGCGGGCGTAGAAACTGACTGACATTTACCACCACAACGCCACACAAAGAGTTAAAAACACACAGGGAAGAGGGGAGGGGGCGGACACAAGTCAAAGACAAGGGGTCCCTCTTTGACGACAGTGATGAATGAGTGGATCACAACAAGTTTTAAGAAGGTCTGTTCCTCCTGGCGGGGTGCTTCTTAAATGGCATGACTGACAAAAGGACACACCGACTCCACCTGCACCAACATGACAGGTGGAGCCTTTTACTCTCGGCCCAGGTTTTGATCATAGAACACACTAAAACAGGCCTTTTAAGGTCTCTTTTAAGGTCTCTGACAGGTCTTTTTCAAGCTTATATCAATTATTTTGATATCGGTCTAATATATTCCCAATATACATGATGATATATGAGTACACAGTAAATGTTGCAGTGGTAAAGTAACACTTTCAGAGTGCATTTGGTCCCACTCTGAATTAGTGTTAAATTAGACTCTAGGTACTGTAGAGGTGTGCGAAATAATCGTTTAATACATGAATGGTTGGCGCATATCAGCCAAAAATGACGTCCAGTCCAGTAGATGTCGCTGCGGATGTGTTGACGCCAGATGTTTGGATGCATTTTGGCTTTAAAAACAAAGAAGGTAAAAATGAAATTAATATGACGCACGTAATTTGAAAAAGGGGAAATATACATTTGAATGTTTTCATTTCATTGGTTTAAAGGACCACTAAGGCCATATAAACGGCACTGATTATCCTTATTTTGTTATATTTTAAGTTTTATAAATGCTAAGCACTTTTCGTCAGTGATATTTGAGTCCAGTATTTGTTTTCATGGGTAAATCTTCCAAAAGTCATTTCAATAAATACAGCTATATATAAATTCAGTTGTTTTTAGTTATGTATCAATTGAAGACACTATCCAGATCACACTCAGCCAGTCAGCCACTGGTAAGGGCTGCATCTTTTTCTTACAGTGTTCAGGGAAAATATCGCAATGCATCGCAATATTTCAAGTATCGTGATGCATCGTGATAAAATCGCACCGTGACATGTGAATCGTGATTCAAATCGAATCGTGACTTCTTTGGCAACACCCACCCCTAATGTAGTGTATATTTTACTCCAGTTAACTCTATGTAGAAACAATGTACTTTGACACTGCATATTTAACACTGTGGAATTTACTGTGCAGATGTTGGAGATCGGCTTTCTTTTTAAGAAGTAAGAATAAAACATTTTATAAAAGCATAGCATCATTCAGAAAACTATTGAAAACAAATGCTACCTCCCTACCTGGGTGCTGTTTTAGCACAGCGGTCATTTCTTTTTACCTTGGTTAATGTAGTGGAAAGGCAAAAGGGCAATAAAAGCCCAAGAAGACTCGCCTGTTTACTTGAAAAGCTTCTGCTAGTGAGAAATATTGATTTCACCTTTTCAGTTTAGTCATTCAGAACATTTTGGGATCCTCCACCCAGATAAAAGCTGCTTTACTACACTGAAAGAAATGTGTCCGGCGTCCAAGGCGTATTGTTTTTACAGTCACAGACAGTTGAACCTGCTGTTTAGCTGATAGAAATACTTTAAATAGTTTCTGTTCTTCAGAAAACTACTGAATGGACAATTTGGTGTGAAAGGAGCCCCTGAAAAGTGCTGATGGCGCACCGTGATCCTGCTTTTATTTAGATGAAGCATCCCTTAATACAGAAGTGTCTCACGGCTCAGTGGAAATAAAGCTAATAAAGGTGCGTTGTCAAAGCTGGAGTTTGATTCGCGTGAATATGAGCAAAGCTGGGATCAGCTCAGCGTGCTGCTGCCTCACCTAGAGCTACTTCCTTACGTCGGCCCACAAACGCATTCATTAACGGAGACAAGCTTCCGTTGTGAGGGCTCTGCAGTGAGGCACGAGGAGAAAAGGTGGCTGCATGAGCTGAAGCGTTCTCCCTGTGGAGAGAAGTTCTGAGCAATTTTTTTTTGTTTGTTTCAAACCTGAGGGCACAACTGGATCCTATGCATATTAAAACAACAAGAACAATAAGAAGCGGCTCCATGGGGCTGAATCAGTGATAGCCTGCTAACATTAGAGACGTAACACAACTAGAGGCAGGCTGTGTTGCTCTAAATTACATGGCCTAATATATTTCATTAGCACACCTCCCTCAGAGGGGTCCCTAATGGATGACAGCGTGGCAGAAAAGCTCGTCTGTCAAGGATGCTCATTTGTTCTAAGGCGACTTCTCTTCACTTATTACTGCCTGCTGCTCCTTATAAGCTGCTTAGGTTGAGGTTTCCCCACTTTGGAAAAAAAAAGGAAAGAAAAAGGCTTCGGCTGATGAGGCACACCACTTAGGTTCTGTGACCCCCACCCCCCTCTAATCCACTTTGATTTTTATTATTCAAGTCAGGTGGCCCCCTGAAAACAATCCTATGAGTGCTTTAGGAGAGAAAAGGCAACTCATCCTCAACTCTAACGTCATCGTTGCAGCCGATCCCTCCCTATTATTCTGCTAAAGTGGACGGCAATGTAACTGTTTTTATTTCTGCATCGGGGGGGGACGGGTGGCCCCGATTCCTCTTAACTGGGGAATTGATTGAGTTGGCAAGGAGAGAAACATGTCTGAGCTAAATCTTAGAGACGTATCTCTGCAGAATCTGTTAGTTCAATCTCTAACGTTCTGCTCTCTCTGCTTTTTCTCATAGTAGCTTCATCTGGTCTGTTCCTGTTTGGCTGTGACTCCATCCTGGAGAGAAATATCAGCTGTGCTGCTGCCATCAACACCTTTGATTATAGATGTTGGAGATCGGCCTGTTTTCCAGTGTAGTCCTGTTTCTCTGACTGTGACTAACTGGATGTGCTCTCTTCATCCTCTGACATGGGAGCTGGCTCAGAGCTCGTCTGCCTGGCTGTGTGTTCTATGCTTCTTTTTCTATGTCTGCTTCTGTCTCCTTGAACCCCAGTGGGCCTCAGCAGATGGCCGCTCACACTGAGCCTGGTTCTGCTGGAGGTTTCTTCCTGTTCAAAGGGAGTTTTTCCTCTCCACTGTCGCTACAAGCATGCTTAGTGTGAGGGATTGCTGAAGAGTCAAGGAGTCGATGCAATCAACTGGTTTTCCTTAGATAGAAAACTGAATCAATCTGACTGAATGATCTGGTGAACTGGAAAGTTCCTTGAGATGACATGATGTGAATTGGCGCTATAGAAATAAACTGAATTGAATTGAATTAAACTCAACTTTTTATTTAACAGACCCATGCTGATAAAATAAAGAGCTTCACCGTCAGTTAGGATAAATTCGATCTTTAGGTTCGGATGAGCAGCAGAAATCCTGTTTCCATGCAAGTATGCAGCACTATCTCCAGGTTAAGCAAATCACAAAGATAAGTTTGCTTTTTTAATTTGATATTTTCAATAACAACTCTAACTCAGAGCGAATGAAGTTCAACTACTTACGTTCACAAGCGTCTCCTTTCTGATGAAATCCAGCTTTGCATATACATTTCCCAATGGGCACGAGCCACTCTCCTTCAGCACTGCAGTGCATCTTGGGGGAGTTGTCGGCCTCCTCCTCGGCGTCATTCACACACCTGCCCTCCACCTCCACCAGCGAAGAAAACTCGGATCCCGTCACCGTGTCGGGGAAGGTGGCCAGGTTCTCGATGATCGACCAGCACTTCTTGTAGTAGACTTTGACGGAGACCAGGGCGATGCAGGCCCCCACGTCCTGGAAGGCCAGGTAGAAGCCCCGTCTGGACAGCGGCCCGATTATACGCACCTCTGTGTTCAGCTTCATCTTTCTCTCGCCCAGGTCGCCCTGGGTGAAGCTCTCGTCTGCCGCGATCGTGTCGATTTTCACGTACTGATTCTCCCTCAGGCCCCGGCCGACCTCTGAGTCCGTCTCCTGGTAATACAGGTTGAAGGTCTCCTTGCAGGCGCCCACCACACCAGGCAGGCTGTTACAATCCCTCAGGGTGAATTTCAGCTCGACAAAAATTCTCTGGGCATCGCCCTTCTCTATCCAGTTAGTCCGCAGCCAGTTGTTCTGATTGGGCTCCATGACTTTACACACCTGGTAGGTGCGGATGGGTGTGTAGTTCTCATCCAGGCCGCTGATCTCTTCCCACTATAATAGAAATAAGACACATTTATAAAAGGAATCTAACTAAGGAGACAATGACCTGCAGAGAGGAGGAAGGTGGGATGCTGAGTCCTTATCTTCCCAACACATCGTTTAAGACTGATTGTGTTTGGTTTATCAGCCCGTCTTTGCATTATTTATCTAAAAAGTTCCTCAATGCTGGCTTTAATCAGACTTGTGCAAGTTGGTTCACTTAAGGCCTTTGTGCTCTGCATGCTAAGAGCCAAATACATTCAGAGGCATAAACCAGCCTCACCTATTCTTCCCCCTTCTGCTCCTTTTGTGAGCAGAGGCAGAAACCTCAGTGCATCATTTCTGTGCGATCTTACAGCATTATTATCTCCTATCACACAGCAGAGGAAGCAAAGAAAAGAGATTGAGATGCGGAGGGCAGCATGCTTGTCAGCAATGCAGAGGTTGTGTGGACTTACCCCATTGGGAGGATAGGAGATCCACTCCAGCTCTGTCTGCTGCGCCTTGGAGTCCAGGAGAATCACTAGACAGGAAAAGTCAAGCAAGACACATGGCGTTTAGTCTGAGTTTGAGGCAGCGGGCCTCCAATCACTGATAGAGCGTTTGTCTGCAGCGCATTTCTACCTGTGACCTCATTCCTGCTTTAAGGCTGGAACCTGCAACAAAGCCGCTGCTGCAGCAGCAGGTCCTGCGCCTGCTGGGAAACTTTTCCTCCTCACTGGAAGCCTGTCCGAAGGCCGGCGGCGATGATATTTACGCGCTTAAATTACAAAATTAAATTCTGTCTGTAACCGACATGAATATAATTGTTTCATTTTAAGGTGATTAGTAACAAGTTTGCGTCTGATGGTTTAATTTAACCGGATGAATTCGGACGTGATTTTTCTCCGGTCCCCGATGCGGGAGGAGCGCAGCGCAACAGCGGCGACTTTTGGAGAGCAACTTCTTTCAGAGCAGCTTTATTATTAGCAGTCAGATCGATGCTTTGTGGAGAAGCATGGATGGAAAAACCAGCCCCGGCCTGTGCGCTTTACGGGCTCCGAAAAATCCCGCAGATAGACATTTTAAATTCCCCTCAGCAGCAGACCATCAAACGCACCACTCTGGATCATTTTTACACACCGCACACTATAGTTTTCTTTCTTTTTTTCTTTTTTAATACAGTGGTAAAAACAATCTAATGTATTCTAGGTTTTTTTTTTATATTGTCCTTCATTTAATCTCTAATCCGATTAGCAGACTGGCTCCTGTTTAACCCCTTCCTTTGCTTTATTTTGCTGCCTGCCGTATTTCAGCCGGACTGTCACTTTGGAGGAAACATCCGTCCGAAGCTGCGTCCTGATGGACGGCGCACTCAGTCCGAGCGAGGCCGGTCTGCCCATCGATCCGCTCACATTACCTCGTTAGTGGAGACAGATTAGGGCAAACAGGCTGTTAATGTCCAGGGGGGAAAAAAGAAAAATAAAAAACAGGTATTTTGCTTTTAATCCACGTATCGGGGTTTTTATCCCGTGCGTTAAAAAAAAAAAAACACCGACAGCAGCCCTGCGCTGTAGACCGGCTGTCATCGCCGCTCTTTCCTTTATATTAATAATAGTAAGAAATGTTGGAATAATAAAAAATAAAAATAATCCGCGACTTTTGATGTATTTTTAGACAAGCGGCGGTTTATTGCTGAAGGCTCCGTGGGACAGCAGAAAGCGGTCCAAAGTTTGGGAACTCACCTTCCTTGGCGCTCTGCGCCCCCCCGCTGGCGGCCAGGCAGCTCACCAGGAGCAGCGGAGTCATCCACACGCTGGGGCTGGAGCTGGAGAGCATGGTGCGGCTGCGGCTTTCAGTCTGGAGCGTAACGCGCGCTGCTGCCACCGTCTCTCGCGCTTCCCATTGACGACACTGGAGCGGTTCTCTATAGCGATCCGATGGTCCGGGCTCAAATAGTGTCTGCTGCCTGCCGCGGGGAGGAGACAAGCGGCACGCGGCTGTCGCTCACGCAGACAGGCAGGGGGGGCGGCCAATGGCGGCGCGATGAAGGGAGCGTCACAAAGATGGAGAGCAAATAGACAGGGAGAGTTGGTTTTCTTTTCATTTGTGTGCTGGGAGGGGGGGCTTTTCTGTTTTTACCTTTTTTTTTGGGGGGGGGGGGGGGGGGGGGGGGTGTAGACATAGCAGGAAGATGGACCGCATGTCCTCAGTCTTCTAATGGGGAAATGAAGAGGAACCTGTTGCTCTGTGGTGAGAGAATGACCAGTCATCAGATCAAAGGGTTGATAAAACAAAGCACGTCATCAGATTAAAGGGTTGATAATGGGCGGTTCTAGACAGGGGCCAACAGGGGCCAGGTCCCTGTAGTTCTGTCCTGGCACCTGTTATGGCCCCTGTACTGAAGACATAATACTAAAAGAAATTCTAACATGATCTGCGCTGCAACAGACATGGTTATTTTTTTAGTGTTGCACCAATTCCAATACCCCATACCGGGCTGTGCAATATCAGCCGGTACCGATACCATCTGTTTGAAAATGATGTGTGTGTATATATGAAGAACTGCGTACTACCTGGATGTAAAATAATTGCCATCATAGCTTTGTCTAGCTGCTGCCTACCTTCGTGAAGCAGGAAAAAGTGAATCCAGTAGAACTTTTTATTGCCTACCAAAATAAACTTTTGGCTATCTGTGGCCCTATTTGTTGGCACTCATCGATACCCATACCACCATTTTAGTGCTGGATCGGAGCCCTGTCCAATATTGGTATTGGTATCAGTGCAACACTACTTTTAATTCTTTAAAAACATTATGTTTTAGTAATTATTTTAAAACAATAAGGTGATAGCTTCAGTGGTATTGAGATAGGAACTCAGTTTTCATCTGCAAAATGTTTTTGTCAAATAACAAAAAACAAAATCTGCAGCTAAATTGATCAGTTTTTCTTGAGTTATAATTCTGAATGTATATTGACCTAATATTCCAAGTAATAGCTTTCTTTGATCTTTTATATAGCTACAATTATTTTTGTTGCTTTTTTGCTATGCTGACGGTTTTTTTTATTTTTATTTTAATGATAATCCAAATGAACTTCTTCAAGCGAAAAATAAATATTTTCAGTTGGTTAAAACTGATTGAATAGAAATTTCTCTTTATGCAGCTCTCTTTATATATTTTTGAATCCCTTGCCCTGTTTTTTTGTTTCATGCATTTCTGTGCCCACATGAAAACACGCTGTGTTTAGCAGTGCATAAACACCAGGATACAGTTAGCAGGGGGGATTTACCATTAGGCAATACTAGGCAGTTGCCGGGACCCCAAGTTCCTGGGGGCCCCATGAAACTCTGTATACATGTATGATTATTTTATAACTATTCTTTATTTGTACTCATTAATTATGTTTTTGATAAAAATCCTTTCTCTAAAATGCCATCAGAACACTTATAATATTAAGTGTCACTTAGCCACCCCCCTTCAGTGTCCACCATATTGGATCAGTCCATTTGCTGCACATGTTCAGAAAGGTCCAAACAGACAGCAGCAAACCATTTGAAAACAAACCATGCAAAGAGCAGTGCTGCCAACTTAGCGCTTTAGTCGCTATATTCAGCCACTTTTCAGACGCCTCTAGAACTTTGATTTAAAAAAAAAGCTCCTAGCGCCAAATCTAGCGACTTTTTTCTGCTACTGGAGACTTTTGAGACAACATCTAAAAGCAGCGAACTCTGCTCTCCAGAGCAAGTAGATTGGTAACCCCGCCTCCTGCTCTCCTCTATCTTGTCTGCTGTCATGATTCATGCAGCTATTATTTCATCCAAATGAAAAATGGAGAACAGAGAAGCAGATCATGGCTTGTCTACAGTGAAAAGAAGGACTGGGTTATTTACTTTGGCCTTTTTGGAAACACAGGAAGGAGCAATCAGCTAAGTGAGCTTAGTGCTTGGAAAAAATCTTTCATTCCTTTAGAGACAGCATGAAAAGTCAGCTGAGTACAAAACATAGAGAGGAAAACAAGAAGAAAAGGGACATATGAAATGCTTCAGCATTTCAATAAGCATCAGTGTGTGATGTAATAATAAAAAATAATAGAAAACTTTATCATCTATTTCCTCCAGGTGATTCATAAACCATGATTAGTCACATCTATTATTATTAAACCTATATAAAAGGTAGTAATGGCTGACAGAAGCAGATCGTATGGATTTAATAAGTCTTACATGTGGCATTTACAGACTTATATGTAGGAGTAACATAAAACAAACAATATCCTGTAAATATCTAATCCACCTCAAAACTCCTTCAAATTATTTAAATTTCCAAATTTCTTCGAGTTTATTCAGCCTCAGTTAAAGGTCACTTCATATTACACACTTAATATATAAACGCTGAAATCGTTTAAAAATGATGCTTGTTTAAATATGAAACTATTCGGTTGAAGAAATTAGAAAAATAAACAATGTTAAGCCAACATGGGAGTACGGCACTTAGTAAATAATACGGCCTTTTCTGGATTTTTATGCACTTATTATTATGTCTGCTGAAGTGGACTAATTTAGATTCAGTTCATTTAAATTTGGGTCCATTCAAACTGCAAAGGACACCTCCGACCTGCCAGGCGGGACTTTAGTTAGCCTTTGTTTGGATGCTGTTTTCTCTTTTGTTTCGTTTATTTTTCTGCGGTCGGGTAGTAGTAGGGGCTTGGAGGGCCGTGTATAGGGTTGGCCCCCTGCTGTACTGTTTTGCTATTTTTGTTCGGCTCACCAGCTCCAACTTTCTGTTAATACTTTGTTTTTGTTTTTTTTCTTTTCTTTTTTTTTCTTGGACACAGAAGCTGAGGATATTTAATTGTGTTTTTTTTCTTTTTTTCTCTACAGAACATCCCCACAGCTGTCCTGTGAAAATATGGTTTTGAAAGACAGTTAAACAACAGAATGAATAAAAATAAATTATTTTCTTACCCTCAGTTTTTCTGTCCTCAAATATGTTGAGCCCTTGTGGATGTAACATATTTATGTTTAAAAAGTGTTGGTATTTATCGCTATATAGATAAAGTGAAATTGAATTCATTGTAAGGTCATTAAATCTGAGCTTAAATTGAATTAACATCCACACATGTAAACTAGACATGTTTTCAATTATTTCAATTTAATTCAGTTTATGTCTATAGCGCCAATTCACAACACACGTCATCTCAAGGCACTTTCCAGTTCACCAGATCATCCAGTCAAATTGATTCAAAGTTTTCTATCTAAGGAAAACCAGCGTATTGCATCGACTCATCTCCTCGAAGGCAATCCCTCACACTAAGCATGCTTGTAGCGACAGTGGAGAGGAAAAACTCCCTTTTAACAGGAAGAAACCTCCAGCAGAACCAGACTCAGCGTGAGCGGCCATCTGCTGAGGCCGACTGGGCTTCAAGGAGACAGAAGCAGACATAGAAAAAGCAACTGTCAACCAGCTCCACAGGAAACACACAGCCATTCCAGAAGGGCTGCTTATTTCTGACAGACTATTTCCATAGATGAGTTTGAATGATATTTAGTTGTCAAATAAGCTGCAGTTTAGAGGCTTGTTTTCCTTAAACGGCGGTGGTCAGGATGTTTGGAAAAATGCCAGCAGAGTTGTGGTGCTGCTGTAGTTTGAGTTCTTTCTGGGGTTTGATTCACGCATCTAAGTTCTTCATTTTTATTTTTAGATTCATCCTCTTTAATTGTACCTTCAACTTATATCATGTAACGGGTGCAAATCTGTTAGCATCAGTGCAAAATCACAATTGTTTATTGTTTTCAGAGCAAATTGTTTAAAATGCTTTTTCAATATTTCACCATTTAGTTTGAACACTTTAATGAAGGATTTAAAGGTGAGAGCGGCCATTTTTACCCAAATATAGTAGCCCCTCCCTCCTGCCATCTTCCAGCAGTGACGTCACGGTGCTGTAAGCCTAGCGCCATTCTCCCCGCTTTACAAGCTAAATCAATGGGAACTACTAGACACATCTGCAATCAACAACAATTATTGAAGATTTCCAGAGGACTTCACCATTGAAATTCACCAGAGCTATAGTGAAACTGACAATGCCCACGTGCATGGCAGCTGGATGCTGGAATACATCGGGGAAAAGTGGAAAACAAAAGAGTTATTCCACCTTTCTGATTCCTGATCCTCCACGGACGGGTTGGTCGTTGGATCGCCAACTTGAAGAGGGAGGATTTGCCATCGAACTTCTGGCCAGAGAAAAAACCCGTAATATGTAGCCAACATTTGGAAGAAGAATGTTTTCAAGATGACTTGGATAATAGCGCGTTGTGACAAACACCAGATACAGCACTGGGACTTGATCAACAGCCGATACCGCACCGTGACGTCACACACCAGTAGGTGGCAGTAGAGTTCTTTGACAAACATGGATGCCTCCAGTAAAGCACATTCACATGAAATAACTCTGAATTAAAAACACTGATCATTTATATAAAAGTATGGAATAATTTCATATTTAAAGAACTTTCAGAAGTTTGAATTCTGAATATGAGCGACTTTTCCTTTAAAAGCTACAAAGATGATGTAGAACATTAAGGAGTATCAGATTAGAGAGAAGGCTTTCAATTCCCTCCTGGCGTCTGCGTCTTTTAATGCTTCATCCAAATATAGCGTTTGATGGGAGGACATTAAATGGTGTTTTTTATATGTGGAAGGTCACCTTAAGTAGCGAGAAGTCCAACTGAGACCGAGCGTTCACACAACAGGAACCAATCCGCCGCTGCATCACAGAAATTCAAAAGAACGATGGACACACCAGGGGTCTTTCAAGTTAGCAACAAAAATAATAATCATGATTATGTGTGAAAAAAAAAAAAACAATTAAAAAGTTGAAAGTTAATTTCCCATTTCTCAGATGATTTGCCATATCACTTTAAATTAAAGGCATAAATCCTCGCTCATTAATGCTTTATACATACATACAGCCAGC